TTTTAATATAATTATTATATTAATTTAAGCTTTACTTATAACTTTTTAACTTTAATTACTTAATTATAATTTATAATTTATTACTAATATAATACCTAACTACTTAGATTAATTGCCCTAGTTATTCTACTAATATAAATTATAACTAGTTTATCCCTTAGGAATCTTAGCCGTTATACTTTTAATTTAAGTAAATTTATAATTAAAGTAAGCTTAAATATAAAGGATAAGGCAAGGGATTAGGATCTGCGTACACTCTAGTACTTATAAATTAATAGATTTATGTATCAGGCCAAACGTAGTAAAATATGAAAATAAAGGTGCAAAGATAGATTGATAAGCTTGCGCTGGCATCCTAACTGCGGGGGGTACGGGGGGCCGCAGGTCCCTCGTAAGTTAACGTAGGGCTTGTTAGGTGGCCAAGTCTGAAGTGTGGGAACTGTAAACAGCTTAGCGTCTAGGCCCTCTAGGGATGTTCCCTCCGGGCGAAATAAAATGAGATGAGATGAGATGAGACGCTGCCGGCGCCCATGTACGGGGGCGCCTCTGTATTGGCCGCCGTATGGTATGGTTTGACCTCCCATACCATACCGGACCATTCCGATCACTGGTAATCAGGCAAACTAGAGGGCGAAGTTATGGTGTGTGATTTAGCTATCTATAATTCTCTGGTAGATGAACTGGGATACTGCTACACTTGGCTGGTCAATGAATTTCCTTGTCAATTCTGCCACTGTCAGGGTCAGAGGTAAGAGGAGTAGTTGGGCCATTAAGAACCCAACTTTCAGACCAACTGGGCCAGCATCCAGTATCTTGTGCAAGCTATTACGTTGATAAGCCATTTTGGACTCTGGCACTAGCTCGGAATGTGTCAAAAACTCTACCAAGCCATACAATCTATCTCCTATTATCCATAAAATCGGTCCATGGACTAAATACAGGGCAAATGAAAGTTTTTCAAGGTACTGCATGATGCGTGATTCGAAGACCTGTCGCAACGTTGAGATGAATCGCACGGAGCTTACAAAGAGCAATGCAGAGCAGAACAGATAGAACCATTTCCCATCTGACATACTGTCTGGCTTCAATAATGACAAGTGATACCAGCCATTGTGCGCGCTAAGGTTGTCGAAATGAGGCACTCCAGCTAGATAGATACTTAGCACAAGCAGCGGGTGGCAAAAACAACGGCGAGTCCATTGTATGCCTGCCCAAAATGGTGCTAAGTCGTCGACTGAATTCAGAAGATCTAGCTCTGCAAGCATGGTTCCTGCTATGAACTTTGCAAAATACCATCCATCTACCAGATATAGTAAATAGAGTAGAAGCAACATCTCAATGTATAACCGACGAGATGCGGAGCATTTTGAGAGCACTAGAAGTGTTGTATAGACAAAGTAAGATCCTTTTAGCTCCAAGGGGATAGTCCATAGATGATCTTGGAAGCTGAACCATCTATCAGTGTTTTCCGCAAACACAAAACTGTAAGTCCAGAACTCGTTACTCCATGATGAAAGATCCAAACGTAAGCTATCGCTCGATAACACACGAGGAACTGGAATGCCTATTATGTGGCAACCTGTGATATAAATGATTGTTGTGCCAATAAATAGAAGGAAGAGTCTTGGCCATCTCCTGAAAAATGCTGAAGACACTGTGTCGCCTAGTTCAACGAAGGTTGCGGTATGTATGAGCTTAATACACTTGATAGAAATAGTATATCCAGAGACAACGAAAAACATGGCCACGGCAAAGTGGCCGCCAGTGAAAAAACTCCGAATACCAGGCAATGTGACAAAATAATACTCGTTGTTGAAACCAAAAGCTGCCTCTAGAGCCTTTCTCAATGAATTGTGAAACCAGAGCTCGTGATGATGCCAATAAACCAATAGGGACGCGAATCCGCGAATGCCATCTAGGTGAGCGGTGGCTTTCGAGCGTGTAGCTCGATCAACGTGCATGTTGACTGATTTCTGACCTCGTGTACGGAGCTGTTTTCAAACCAAGCTGGTGATAAAAGTTTTCGTGCTGTGCAATACTAGCAAATGTGGACAAAAAAAAGTACCGCCACCTTATGCTCTGACAAAACTTGAGTTCACCTTAGACTTATCGTCGCTAATTCGACTTTTGATCACGCGCGCCAAGCAGAATGTATGCAACTTTCATCGATACCGTGTGTACAGTGTGTGTTTATTTTGCTTGTGAGAGTGCGAAATACTAAGTAGTGAGGCAGTGGAGAAAATGGCTTAAATCTTACCGCAGCAGCAAGTAAAGGGGGCGTGTATGTAAAGATTGACTTTGGTCTATCTGGAAATAGCTTCGTCAGGTGCAAAAGTAGCTTCTCTTGTAACATTGTATGTTCTTACTCGCGAATCGAATGCGGAGGCCTTATGTGTTCAGGCTCAATTAGTGGATAACCTAACTTTGGTGAGGCTAAGTGAGCATTCTTCTTGCCATCCATAAAGCTCTTCCAAATATTATGCACCTCCAAGCCAAGTGCCGTGCATTGAACTGATCTAACTGCATCGCAACTCTGAACTAACAAGTGTGTTAGTTAGGACTTCTTAATAGTAAAAGTACCGTATATTAAACTAATCTAACTATATTATAACTCTGAACTAACAAGTGTGCTAGTTAGGACTTCTTAACAGTAAAAGTACTGTGTATTAAACTAATCTAACTGTATTATAACTCTAAACTAATAAGTATATTAGTTAGGACTTCTTAACAATAAAAGTACCGTATATTAAACTAATCTAACTGTATTATAACTCTAAACTAATAAGTATATTAGTTAGGACTTCTTAATAGTAAAAGTGCCGTGCATTGAACTGATCCATCTGCATCGCAACTCTGAACCAATAAGTGTGTTGGCTACCGGTAGGGCTTCTTGACAGCAAAAAGTACTGTGTTGGAGTTGAAGCAAGTTGCAGTTGCTTGTTGGAAATGTCCCCCTTGGAGAGAAAGCTAAAGGATGAATTACAGAAACTCGATCTGGAACGCTAGGCACACTTGTCACATCTGGACACTCCCTAACAAAAAAAGTTGTCCAAGTGAGCAATTAGTCTTTATGCACTATCCAAGCACTGGATCCCGCTAACGTACTCTTCGCTATTAGAGGTTTGTCCCTGTCACGGCTAATATATACATATATAGAAAATCGTTGCTTTAAAATTATTGCCTTTCCAAGGTAACTTTCGATCTACGTTGCTTCATAACTATTCAGTGAGACAGCAGCCGGCACCATTTCATTACTTGACTCGATTGCCGACTTCAGCGCCGGAATGCTGGGCCTCTCATACCTCAATGGGCGCAATATTTTGCTTTTTGTGCTGCCATGCTTATTGGCTCTCACTAATGGATCCATTCTCTCATATATTCAACATGTACTCTCCGCTCATTTCAAAAAAGTTGATTTGTACCAGGGCCATATATCACCTAACATAGCGACACCTTCCGCTCTGCACTCGGTCCACCAGTATGAGGTTCAGGTCATATCGCAAGATCCACTTGTTCTTTACGTACACAACTTTTTGAGCCGTGAGGAAATAAGTCATGTTTTAGCGGCGAGGTAACATCCCATTAAATATGTATGATAGGGTGCTTCGTTCTGAACTGACACAATCCATTCTAAGCGAGGGGCATTTTGAGACTTCGAAAGTGTATCACGGAAAAAATGCTCATGTTGATTCTGATATCCGTGTTTCAGAATCCGCCATTCTTGAGCAGGATGAGGTAACCCGCCAAATTAGAAGGCGAGCGCGTCAATTCCGAGGTTGGCACGGCAACAAAACTGTTGCAATTCAACCTCTCAAGGTTCAACGCTATAGCGTAAATGGATACTACTCGGTTCATTACGATTGGGATGGTTACGTCACAGAAGGGAATCGTGTTGCAACTTTCATGATTTATCTTGTTGACTCGTGCACCGGTGGCGGTACCAACTTTCCAAGGCTTCGTCGCCCAGTTGACAGTCGATGGTGTAGTATCATAGAGTGTGAGGACGATGAGTATCCAGGGTTAACATTTAAGCCAATTGCAGGCTCAGCGGTATTCTGGGAGAATATGCATTCTAACGGAAGCTTTCATAGAGGAGTTCGACATGCTTCTTTGCCAGTCAAGTCTGGTGAAAAGGTTGGACTGAATATCTGGCTCTGGGACCATGCTTGGAGACCACCTCTCGTTGAATAGAACCATCCAAAGACACGAGGTCATACGGTTTCTCTCAGTCGAGTAACAGAAACAATAAATATTTTCACTCAACCATGAGCTTGGACTAAGTTTGCATGATTACTTAGCGCAGTATAGCCTTCAACTCAAAAGTCCCTCTATAAAAGCGTAATATTTCTGAGCTATTCAGACATTGTAGTCGTGTATTTACCTACCGCTGTAGCCTTTGCAACATTTACAGCGACCTATATCAAGCTTAAAGGAAGGACCAGCAACAAAGGACTTTTCCAAGGTGATCAAGACTCAAAGGAAAAGGATATTATCGAGTTATATGGTATTTTCTACCAAACAACTATAGAAATCATACATGGACTATATTTCCTCATTGGCGTCTAACATACGGAAAGGGGTAATTAAATCTTTTTCACTGTTGTTGTTACGACACCAAACTCGTAAATTAGATTATTCCTTCCAGATTTCCGGCCTCGACGAATTGTGCAACATTCTAGCGTTATATTCTCTATAAATGCCGTGCAAAAAAACTCCCTTTTCGCTGCGATAAAAGTAATGTCTCCTCGTTCATTTTAAGCTGACTCAGTCTTCAGTCAGAAGCTAAACTATGTAGTTTTATTGCGTCAAAAATTTGCTTAGTCCACATTTAAGTGACTGCTATGGCTTACAACGGCGAACAAATGTGTTGCAATAAGAACGGCAATTTGAGCAGATAACCCGCTGCGGGAGAATTCGTTATTGTTATTTCTAACGAAATCTGGAAGTTAAAGCTAGCCCGCTATCCACACAATAAGATTTTCTATTTTTAATTGCCATGTTTTTTTTTTTTTTTTTTTTCATTTTACTCGTCTCCGTTTCCCAATCCCTACCCCTCTCTTGTATTGTTTCCCCTCTCACTCCTCACGCAGCTACTAGCCGTTCAATGACAGATATGCCGCTCAGCTAAGGCCTCACATTCCCTCTAATGCCCCATTTCAAGTCATTGCTAAGTGAGGCATGGTCAAGTTTCTTCTATTCGTCCGCCTCATGAGCTTTAGGATCCCCCCCGTAGTTCGGTGAGTTGGGAGCTATAAAAAATCAGTGTTCGGTCATACTTCCAAAGTTTGAGTTACTCACGTCCACGGAAGTCGAGATTTGGGTCCCTCGCCTCTAAGTCAGAGAGCTTGACAATTCCTGGGGTAGCTTGAACAAGACTAACTCCAAGCAGAATGGCGGCAATAAAAGATTTGATAAAATACATTGTGTCGGGTGTCTAAGTCAAACTTGAGTTGCTTTATAGTTCTCTTAGAAGATAACGGATGGAGATGTTGATTGACCGAACAATTGAGGGAATCGTATGTCTATATAAGCTATTCCCGGCGGCAACTCGGCCATCTAGCGATGTTAGTCTGTGCCGTTTCATACCATTACATTCTCAGTTACCTCCTTCTAACCCCGGAAGTAGGACCAAAAAAAGATGTGTAATGAAATCCCGCGGATGAACTTTGTACTAATCCCGATTCGTGAGAAAGTTTGACTGTTGGTTGGAGCAAACGGTACGGCCTCGTGGCCAAATTGCAAACTTCCATTACATACCTCCATCACTTGATCCGAGAGCCAGACACTGATCTGCATCGGAGACCCCATTTATCTTCCGCAATTGGCAACTCCCGAAACCCGGGAGTCCCGCGATGAGACAATGCTGTTTCTATCCGCACCCTCCCAAGTCATTCATACACGCAACCTTGTTAGTTTCAATCTTCTTGCATTACAAAACTCGGTTCTTCCCTTATTAGCAGTCTCCGAGGGTGGGAACCTTTGCTTTACCCACCTACACCTACCTGCATAGTCTCAATTTTATGCATGGCCTTGGATTGGGATAACTGTTGGTGAGAAGAACATCGACACGGTGCCTCATTCTCAGCCCTCAAACCCACCCATCATACCCTTCTGCTTCGTCTTCCCCTTCTTGGCTACTAACCTTCTCGAATCTTATGCTTTGTTATCTATTATTCATTAAATACCTTTTGTCACAAATTCAAGAAAAAATTCATTAATAAACAGCAGTCACTATTTCAGTAACGTCTCCTACTCATTACATTTCAAAATGGCGCCGCACAAGTATAATTTGCTAAGGTCGCCGCGACCTGGAGAGTCGAGTGACGAAGAAGACAAAGTTGGTCTCGCCGTTTCAAATGATGCTGAGCTTGACGTCGTGAAGCAGTCGACCTCAAGCCGTTATGTAGGATATAGAACAGTCTTTATCTCACTTGGCGCCAGCATTCTTACTGCAGCACTATTGATTGTCATCTTGGTGTTTGGGCAGGCATCAGTCCCTGTCTGCCTATCTCAAAGAACCCGCCGTGAATGGAGGCAACTAAATGATACCGAAAAAGCACATTACATTCAAGCTGTGAAGTGTCTTCAAACTTTTCCTTCCCAAATAACAGGAATAGGCCGCCGCTCGGACGATTTTCCTTGGGTGCATCGCCACGTAGCGACATCAAGCAAGTGAACGTATACTTATTTTTTAAACTTTACGGAATCTGACCATTTACAGTCCATAACACAGCTATGTTTCTTCCATATCATCGATATCTGATCTATCTTTACGAGAAATCTCTACAAGATCTATGTCAGTGTAAAGACATTCTACCGTGAGTTCGACTTTTTAACCCACACGTGCTCGATTAGCTAACTGCAATCTCGCATAGATACTGGGACTGGGGACTTGATTGGGAAGATCCCACAAAATCTGCAATATGGGACCCAGTTACAGGATTTGGAGGTGACGGCGACCCCGAGGGTCCTGCTTCTGTAGGCTGGGGATCTTGCGTGAAAGACGGCCCATTTGCAGACTACGAGGTGTTATTTTATGATTTCATTCCTAAACTACACTGTCTATCTCGCGGTTTTGGTCGGTACTATAAGAAGCCTTTCCCCGGTGACGCTTTTGCACCAGCCGCTATCCAAGAGGTCCTTGATCAGCTGACGTTCTGGAATTTCACGAACGCAATCGAACTAGGGCCTCACGATGCTATTCCTAACAATATCTGTGGAGACTTTTTCTTCCTAGAAGCACCAAATGGTGAGTAGACAAGTGTACCCCGATGAGAAATCCGACTTATTTTTATGTTAGATCCAGTTTTCTTCCTTCATCATGCAAACCTCGATCGTCTATGGTGGACGTGGCAACAAAAGACGCAGGAGAGAATTTGGGAGTACAATGGCCTTGGAAACTCGTCTACGTTTCAATCTGCCTCTTTAGAAGACGTGTTGCATATGGAGGGATTAGGCCCAGATGTGAAGGTCAGAGACGTGATGCACACAAACTTCGGAATGTTCTGTTATGGTTATTAGAATATAACTGACTTGAAATCTATTGGCAACTTCTTGAAACCGCTGGCTATTTCACCTACTACAGAAAGGATTGTGTACTTAATTAATGATCTGATTTTGTACAGGCCCTGTTGCGACGGAAGAAGCTATTCATTAATTCAAGAAGTTCTTAATATAATTGTCGAACATGGAAAGGATCCGTCATCTAAGCCTCAGTGACTCCTTCATAATTGGACGCCTCCACTACTAGGCCTAGGAGGAATTTCCCCTAGCGTAGTTTGCTTGGTTTGGGGGAGTCCTCTATTCACGAATAATGACAACGGAGAGCAAACAGGCATGTATAATGAGAGTTAAGATTTTATTTTATTTCTTCGATGCAAAGGGATAGAGCCAAATTGTAACCTAGATTGTAGACGATTCTTGCGAAGCAAGCCACCAAGCTTCGTTGATGTCACGCTGCTTAAGTATATCAATGGCTCTCATCCGATGTTTTTTCCATAGCCGCAATGTCACCACCTATTATTGGAGTATCAGGATAGTAAAAGCTGAACATGTTTAGCCCTATCTTCACTCCAGAATGAACAGGTAAGCCAGCATGTAAAAGACGGCGGTCCCCTGTTCCATTGGACTGCATGTTGTTCCAGAAGAGGGCATTGCCCTTTTTAGGTTTGACGAGCAATCCTTTCCCGGATGGATCATCGGTTCTCGAGAATTTCCCCTCGTCGGCAATTGAGGACACGCCCATAACGTCCGGAAAGTAAGTCTCGCCACCAGTACAATCATCTCCGAGGTAAGCAAATATACTACCCAGGCGATTGTATTGCCTATGCGGGTTATGAGGTAGACCAGTTTCATTGGCCATCATATGAAACCAGTCGAAATGGTAACGAAACTGTTCATCTGCTGAGTAGCTGACAAGCTGCAGTGATTCGACGTCAATGTGTTGAATGTTGCCCAAAAGTGACTTCATGCGGTCATGAAGACATTTAGAAACGGGATCCGATGGAGGAACATGGGCGCTCTGCGATGATCGATAACTGCGATCGGCCATAGGTTTGAGGTCATCATTATATACCAGCGACTCAACTAATCTGGGCATACTATTAACCAGACTTGTGAGCGGAAGTTCTTCGGAGTGATAGTAATAAATTGTGTCTGAGTATCAAATACTTACTACTTTTCTACCAAGTAGTCTATCTCTGACATTTTTAAAAAGTCGTTGATGTAAAGCACTAGAGGGTCAACTGACATAATCTCAATACTATAGGTGTGGGTGCAGTCTAAAACTTGCGTTATCGAAGTCTGAGCAGCACCGTTCCACATCGTGTCGAGTCCTTGTAGAAGAGGATTGATGCTACTCTTTCCAGCAAGGGCTGCCAACAGCATAGTAAGGAACGACGACAGTAAGATAGTAGTCCTTGAGCACATAGTTTTCAGAGGTGCTCTGTTCTGCACCTGCGGGGTAGTTTAGTCCTGAGCAAAATACTCGTAAAGACACTTGGTTACTCGGTTTGGGTGTGGTGACGACTTGTGTACCTGTCTAGTGTTTTTATTGGATGCAGGATTTTCCATTGTTAGACAAGACCTCAAGTAGGCAAAATTTTGGTGACAGAAATTTTAGCAGCAGAGGGAAAATGGCATGACTAGTGTTGCAGTAAAGAGAGGGGCAGCTTGGTTCTTATGAAATTTAACATTAAAAGCTAATGTATTGGACAGTAATAAAAATGTTGGTGTTACAAGAAGGCTACCCGCCTGCATCGACTTACCAGTTCAGTTGCCTCCCCGTCTGATTATGGCAGCCCATCCCCTGTCTTTTCAACAAAAGTGCTGTGGACCTCGCTAGTGAGTCTCGGGGTGAGCGTATCAAACTAAACCAACATGCAAGATATGTACTATCAAGATTCGTGCAGGACAAGCACAGCCAACATGAATCTAAGCCCCGCAATTGTACACTGTGTTTATTAGTTTCCCGTCCCACAGGCTTCCCCGCGTTGGCAATTTCCTGTCACTCCCCCAGCAGCAGTTGAGAGCAACCAGGAATTTCTCAACGACTAATCAAATGCACAGAAATACCTAAAACAAATTTGGCCATTCCTGAACTGCTTTTCAATTTCGTTATATCCCAACATCCTCACAATACCAAAAGAAATGTCTCAACACCTTCCGCTACTTCCTAATCTAGCCGATATTACCAATATAGCTCAGCGACACGTCGCAGAGCATCGTATTGTTATCGATACTATCATGTCAGAAGTAACCATCGTGACCGCCTGTTTCAGTAACGTTATGGCACCAATAGCCGAACTTGAAAACAAGCAATCCGGCGAGAAAGCTACTATTGCAGCGCTACGTTTTGCGGCTATGGAAAAAGCTATGCAACACGCTGTGGAAGAGGCTGAAAAAATTTGGCTTGATTACAATGCTGAAGTTGATAAAAACACAACCCTTTTCAACTTGCTCTGGGCTGTGAAAAGCAAGAACGAACAACTGAACCACGAGTCCCAGAGGTTGCTAGATCGCTTCTTGATGAGATATACCGATTGTGGACACGGGTCGCTTGATAATGACGGCATTCAAGAATGGCACAGCACTAATCAAGAGATCGAAGCGTTGTGTACTCAATTCAACCAAAATGTTCGAGAATTCGACGGCAACTCTTGCGGTGTATTCTTCACTGATGATGAACTCGAAGGTATTCCGCAATACGAGCTTGAGGACTACCAGATCGGATTGGATGGCAGACGACGGATACCATTACGATGGGGCCTATATGTCTCTGTCTTACGATTTGCACGAAACTCAGAGACAAGAAAACGTTTCCAACTCGCCTGGGGACAGCGATTGCCTGAGAATATTCATCTTTTTAAGCGCATAGCTTTGTTACGACACAAGAATGCACGTCTTCGGGGATACAAAAGCCACGCAGCCTCTCGCTTGCCCTATCGAATGGCTGTGTCAACAGAATGGGTAGACAGTCTTCTCGAAGAACTAAGTGTTGTCATGATAGCCGAGGGGAAAAAACGCTTTGAGCTCATAGAAAGAACTAAAATCCGGAACACTGCCACTAACGACATAACTGAATCGAATAATATGGGATCTTGGGATGTCGCCTATTATAATCGTATTCTAAATGAAGAATACGCTTCGGTCAATCAAGAAAAGATCATGGAATATTTTCCATTTCATCACACATTCAACACTTTGCTTGAACTTTTCGCCACTTATTTGCAGTTACGATTTGAGAAGTTGCCGGCAGAACAATTGGATGGCCATATATGGTGTCCCGACGTTGAAGTTTGGAGGCTTTGGGACGAACGACCCGAAACTAAGGGGATGCCTATTGGTTATCTTTACGCAGATCTGCTGGGGCGTCCACACAAGTACAAAGGAAATCAGGCAGTGAACCTCCAGCCAGTATGGTTACCGACTCTACTTTTAGTTTTACTTCTCGATCTTATGTATGCTTCGCAGTCAGATTCTAATCCACTTCAGGGCTATCTCAAAAACGACGGGACTAGAGTTCTTCCGGTTACCACATTAATGTGCAATTTTTCAGCACGCATTCTAAATGGATGTATGCTGTTAAAGCATTCCCAAGTCGTAACGCTATTTCATGGTAGGCAATTCATTTTGGGTCATTAGATTGTAAAGTCAAATCGTCTAACCCGTTGCTACGTGTAGAACTTGGTCACTGTATGCATGATCTATTGGCCAAGACAAGATACGCTAAGTTCCACGGATATGAAGTTTGCGTTGAGTTTGGAGAAGCAATTGCAACAATGTTAGAAAATTGGTGCTGGATGAAAGACGTTTTGAAAGACATTTGCTACCACTTCACCGCTTTAGATCTCAAATACGAGGAAGCATGGGTCAAGGAGAACCCAAATGTTCCTATCCCGCCGGCAGAAATACCCGATGAGTTATTGGAGGGTCTCATGGAAACTCGTCGAGACTCTAGGCTTGACAGATGCTTAAGCCAGCTGTGAGTCCTCTCGGCAACATCGCTTTCTACATTTCACTGACCCTTTATTCAGCTGCGATGCCAAATTCGACCTTGCGGTTCATAATCCTTCCACCGATAAGGCCCTAGCAGAACTAGATGAAGTTAAATTATTTGTTGATCTTTACGAAAGGTTCTATTTTACAAGAAGACCAGAACCATGCTATCTCCATGCAACATTTAGTCACTTGGTTTCCGGGTATGATGCAGGCTATTACGCTTATATTTGGTAAATTCTTTTCTTATCCTGCTCAGACTGTGCTGAGTCCCTTCTGCAACTTAACTACAGAAAGACGCTAACACATATTAGTGCTAGTGTCTTTGCTCAAAATATATTTGAGAAAGTGTTTGCAAAGGATTACCAGTGCAAGACTTCTTGGAATCGCTTCCGGACGGAGTTACTAGAACATGGCGGTAGCCGTGATGAGCGAGTAATGTTGGAGAAATTTCTTGGATCTGCGCCAAGCACTTTTGCCCTCTTTCGGAGTTTAAATATCCCTTATTCAGCTACAGAAACTCTCCCCAAATAGAAACGATACCAGTCGGGATGTTACGAAACTCCAATTGAGAAGGTCCCAAAAACGATGAGCGACTTGATTTTCTCACCGGAGGGAGGTGTTGCTTCCACCGCCGTCTTGAGCGGCCTGCGAATGGCTTCAAACAGTGGCTGAAACAGACCTCACGTGAGGAGGCCTCAACACCAATTCAGGCGTGCGTTATCCATAGCTAGATGAATTCAACATGCATCAATCAACCAGTTACGAGTACCCCAAGTCCCGTGATAATTATCACTGAATCGAAGCCTTGCGCTTCCAACACTCTCGCTTCCCTAGCTTTCCGCTCTCGCGTGTGGTCAACAGAAACCGCAACGTTAGGCATGGTGATATTGTTTGATGGTAAAGGAATATGAACAGTTAACTGAAGTGAGAATGAAAATCCGCATCGAATGACCGTGAAAAAGCGTCACTCACTCACCAGGTGAGGACGGACGTCCCTGGGTGGCCCGCTTGACGTTACCATTGCCCCTGAACACCTGATCATTGGCCTCTACATTTATAACGATTCGCAAAAGCTTTTATCGCTATCAATGATACCTTGTTGTCAACAAGCTTATCTGGATTCATTGTGTGATGATGGCGGGTGAGGACTTTGATGATTGGCGGCCAGCCGAAATTGCGTGTGATGAATGAAATATTGAGTTCACCATGCACTTTCGACTCCAGCACAGCTGAGATTTCTCAACCGAAAAAATTGCTAGAATAGCAATTAAATTAGTCACAGAATTCGAAACAACAAGGCACTGAGGTAGGATGCTACATGTACGTGACTCAAGCCGGTGTGAACCGTTCAGCCTACCCTAAGCAAGAATCTCATCACGTAGCGCAACCAATACTCCACCTTCCCCTGTATTTTTACTTTCTTGGCACGTAGGTGTTAAGGAAGTACATATATTTTACAAAGAAAACTCTAACAATTGATCCAAAACACCTTTTCCTGCGCTTCCGCGCAGCCCACGGCGGCGGCAATGGCAACTGCCACGACCAGTCTGCCCGACGTCCCAGTCCCTTTTGATCTGGGAATTTACACTCCACATTACCTAGCCCGAGGTGCACGCGCAGCCCTCCTTCGAAACAGTCCCGCCATCCTGGATCGCCCAATTGGCCCTCACAGAACCACTCGTGCAACCCATACTCCTTCCCCACAACCACAACAACGAGCCAACCCGTGCCCGTCCGATGTCGCGCCCCCGCGGGACCTTTGCCTCCTTCCTTGGCCAAGTCCAGATCAATGAGCACGCCTTTCAGCGAAACATCGGAAAAGCACTAGCTCCGGTGGCCCTGTTGCTAGGGGGCAATGCTGCGTTGGATTTTGCCAGTTAGAGCTGTACAACAGTCCATTTTTTGCTACAACACCTCAATTTCGAGTTTGTCATCAAGTATTACGAGGTCGGGGTTCACAATAGGGCAAACTTCAGGCATGTAAACAACAAGTTTTATTACTACTATGTAATGCGGCGCCGGGGGACTCTATTCAGAGCGTCGTCACAATTGAAGCAGTGCCCACAGTGGGGTCCGTGATAGCATCGCGGAGAATAATCTTTATCTGTAAATATAGCTTATTGTCCTCCTTCTCCTATCTCCTGCTATTAAGAAATATAACCTTACGCAGCTTATTAACCCAGGGTATTAACAGTGTATAAAGTATTATGAAGTACTTGCTTATAGTCTTAATAAAATCTTATTCATGGGATACCTGACCTTTCTTTAGCTCTGCCAACTCGGCTATCTCCACGTAATTCCACTTTTTAAATCACTGCATAATCCAGCTATTCTCTGGTCTGTTATAATATATATATATCTAAAAGAGTACCTAAAAAAAAGACTCTAAATTATGTATAAAAGAATGCTATTCTCCTAGTAATATACTAATAGCTATAAACGCCCTAATACCAGTCTTTTCTATAGCTCCTAAAGCCCTGTCTTAATGTACCCTTATAGTAAGGTTAAGGTTAATTAAAAAGGCTCGCTAAGAAGGGTTCTCCTTATTCTTATTTATTATAAGATTATTAATAGAGATATTTCTATAAAGGAAGCTAGCCTTATATAAGAATTCATAACCTTTAATACAGTTTACTAGAGCAGAAAGCAGGGCCGCGTAAAAGTTTGCCTTATAAATTAGCTTTCTATAGTCCTAAAGAATAACACGTTAATATATCCGATTTAATAATACGTTTAGGTGAGGTTTTATTAGGAATACTAAATAA